TTATGGAAGCCCATTCCCGCCAGTTACTCCGACTTAGCTAAGTCGAAATTCCGACATAGCTAAGTAGAAATAATGACTTAAGTAAATCTAAGTAGAAATTCTAACTTAGCTATGTCAGAATTTCGACTTAGCTAACTCGGAATAACTACATAGCTAAATCGAAATTCCGACTTATATATGTCGAAATTCCTACATAGCTCAAAGTATCTTGACGTAAGCCTGTCAAGCGGAAGTAGTTATTCTTCTTCCTGTTTAGTTGTTTTTGGCGCGGAGACAGAGAGCTGCAGCACCATTTACCGTAGCGTAGCGTGCACTGGATAACAAACAGCCATTGGAATTCACTCAAAACGGACCCACGCCTGAAATAATATTCAATTATTCTATCCATCTGAACTGTGTGGTGTGAAAGGTGCTGTAGCGTTAGCTCTCAGTCTCCGCGACAAAACACGAAGAAGCATAACTACTTCCGGTTGACAGGCTTACGTCAAGATACTTTGAGCTATGTAGGAATTTCGACATAGATAAGTCGGAATTTCAATTTAGCCATCTAGTTATTTCTACTTAGCTATGTCGAAATTTCGACTTAGGGAAGTGCAAGTAGGAATTCCGACATATCTAAGTCTGAATTCCGACTTAGATATGTCGGAATTCCTACTTAGCTAAGTAGAAATAACGACTTAGAGCGTTTTATTTCTCTTTTAACTGGCGGGAATGGGCTTCCATAGGTCATGACACTAGCAACAGCGAGCTACGGGAAAAAAAAACAACTTCTTCTTCATTGTATTGGCGGTCTGCAAGGTAAGCTGTTTGGTGTTAGCAACTGCCAATAAAAGAAACAGAAGAAGAAGGCTGACGTTCTCATAACCGCAGTGCAAAACATTGCGTAGTGGAGTGGGATTTTTGGAAACAGCGCGTTGGATCTCCGACTTAAGCTTTTTGTTGTTGTTGCGGTAATGTCACAAAAAAATATTTAAGACCTCTCGAATCAGAATTTAAGGCTTTTTTAAATACTTTTAAAGGCCTTGTATTGGGAGATCTTTATTTAAGACATTTTAAGACTTTTTAAGGACCCGCGTCCACCCTGAAAGTGGCCACAAACTGGTTTGTCGCTTCTGTTAGGTTATTTCTTAGTTAGATAAATATTCAGAGATTTGTTGTCTAGAAATGTTTAGTGGAGACAGGTTGACTAGCTCAGGCTGTTAACTGGTCAGGTTAATGTGCTTGCAGTGCAGACTGCATGTAGGCCAAGGTTGCAGGCAAAGAGCTGTTAGTATTAACTGTAATGCTAATCTTAATATTTGTCTTAATGTGTAATGTCATGTCAAATTGTTCTAGATACACACCACAAAAACAACAGCCACACACCTTGACTTTTCCTCATGTTTTGGCTAACGTTATAGTCAGCTGCAAGCTGGCATATCAGGTGACGTCACGGTTTGACGCCCTGCGTAGCATGGGCTAGCCCAAAATGATTAAATTATATAGGTTTCTTGGTCCAGGCTCAGATCATCTTTTCCAAGCTGCCTGCGCGCAGGTTGGTGGTGAGAGAGAACAGGACGTGTAATGTTAATTTTACCTGTGATCCTCTGAATAAACCAGCACGGTTATTTTTTATAAAATCTAAAGCAGTCTACTTCGTCTTATTGAGAGTTCCTGGTTTGAAAGAGCCGGAAGAGGCTTCATAGAGAAACAGAAGCTTATACTTCTAAACACTAACCTCAGTCAAAAGGTGTACAGTGATTCAGGGATACATTTACAAAATATTTCTTCAGCCCTGGGTTAGTTAAACGTACAGATAACTCTATCTTACTTTAATTGCAATGCAACAGGAGATGGGGTGATTTTTTTTTTTTTTTTTAATCACAAAAACTATAGTTCAGAATTTATCAACAGTGACAGGCTTTCTCATAATGTTTAGTATGATGTCCTGGTGCAGCAACCTTCCGTTTGCAACCCAGTACACTGTCAGTTGTCTCAATGTCTCACCCATGGCCAGTCTTTTCTCCATCCACGCCAGAAGGTCTTTGATATACTTGGACCAGGCTTTGGCGTAGAGTAGAGCAGACTCCACCCCGCTGTCATTCTTCAACAGGGTCAAGTCAACTTCTTCCTCCCGTGACAACGGCACGTCTGAGCCTGTAAAGCAGAAGAGACATTACATACATATCAAAACAAAGTGAACTGAAACAGAGCATCAACAAAACTGCCAAGTAAAATGGTAAATGGTCTTATACTTGTATAGCGCCTTTCTATGCTTTTACAGCACACTCAAAGCGCTTTCACACATTATTCGGCCATTCGCACTCCCAAGCACTCACACCGGTGACATCACCGGGAGCAACTGGGGGTACAGTGTCTTGCTCAAGGACACCTCGACATGTTGACTGGACAAGCCGGGAATCGAACTGCTAATCCTCTGGTTAGGAAACGACCCGTTCTACCTCCTGAGCCACAGCTGCCCCCTGTACTGGATTGATGTGTCTCAGTTCTACTATCCCAACAGACGTGTGTGGGAGATGAATGAAAAAACACTGAGGTAATGGAAGCTGAGGCTGTAGGAGGATAGGAAAACACTGGGTATCTCATAAAATAATCCAACAGCATTATTTTCTCTTCACTGGTTACACTGTGACAGACCTCTCTCTCAGCTGCCTGCCATCTGATTCAACACAAACCCCATGTGTTTCTCATCCCACACTGAACTACTCCTAAACAGGCAAGGAATGTCAGATATGTGAAAAGAGAACAGAAAATGAGCAGCTAGTATGAAAAAAGCAGCAGAAATAACAGGGGTGGAAGCAGAGGTTTAGGGCAGGTCTACCTCAGGCATTCAAAAGTCCAACATCTCGATCACTCAGTTAACTCTCAAGTTGACACTCAGGGATGTCTCAGGCTACAAAGCAGCCATTAAATGCATTGTAAAGCAGTCATTAATTGCCATTACATTTGCAAACCAATTTATTTTACACTCACTGCTCAGAGGCAAATGACAGAATGTGACTAAGACTTACCCACAAGGTCACTTTTTTCTGAAACATATACTCCGGGATCCACAGAGAGGTTGTCAAAAGACTGTGAAAAAGACATTTCAGATTAAAAGCAGGGAATTGCTGGCATACAATCAAAGTCAGACATCAGAAGCAGCTGGGTTCTCAACACCCCGTTTAAGTACAGAAAGCAAGTCCTTGAGGCTTTTTAAAATGGAGATGCTTTTTAAAACATCTTTTTAAAACGGCTTCAAAACAATGCTTTGAAAAATAAAATAAAATTGCTGGCCCAACATGCTGGGAAAAGAAAGATGATGTCTCACTCTGCTTCTCCTGGTCTGGGGGGTCCCCAACCCTGGGCCACTCTCCACATCTCCCATAAGGAAGTCAGAAACTCTGAAGAGCAGATGTGTAGAAAATGTAGTTTGATATGGTCAAAAGTGTAACCTATTCAGCAAGCTAACTGAAGCCAGTCCCATTTTTCTTGCCTTCTCACACAAAACAGTAATAAAAATCTGGTCGTGCTGAAAAGATAAACACTACTTACACATTGCCGAATGTGAAAGCCAAAGTGTCAATGGATGTGTGTATTTCGCCAAAAATAGCTTTTTTCTTTTCTGGGTTCACTTCCTTGAAGTCAACGCCTGTGGAGATTGATAAAATACACAGTAAGTTCAGACAAAATAAAACTATATTACAAACCAGCTTATGTATACTCAATCATTTATAAAAGGTTTTTACACAACCAGGTGTATATATATATATGTGGGTTGACATTTTAACCACAGATATCAAACGCATGTTCAATAGCTCAAATAAATATGTATATGAAACAAACAGCTAATCTTAACTCTAAAACATCAGAAATGCATTAACTTCAGATTAAACTAATTTGCCCCAACTTTTCTTGCTACAAATCATATCAATTGACACCTTATTTAACTGTTTCACTTACTATGTGGGGAGTGGTTTATTGCCTCTACAGGGGGATCAAACAGTTTCAAATAACTTGACAGACCTAAAGTCTAAGCAGTTACACAAGCACAAGGTTTTTAAAGACAAGGTTAGGAACACAGCTTACAACCACAACCGTTACAACCACAACAGTTACAACAGGGTAGTTTAACCTGTGTGCATTCCTACCAAATCTAAAATGTCTTCTAGAACAACTTCAAGGATCTTCATGGATGGATATTCAAGGAATATTCAAAAAACAATCCCAGATTTTTTCTCCTTTGTTCCAACATGTTATAATTCCATAATTTATCCTTCAGGTTGATCAGAAAAGGCCATGACTTGCAGATATTCTTTCCTTAGACATCCATTGACAGCATGACGTTCAACAATTTTAGAACTGTATCAAATCTTCACGAACGTGTGCACAGCGCTTTCCTTCTCAGGAAACAGTTTACTCAGCAAGAGAACATTTGCACAAAGCAATCAGAGGAACCAAAGACACAGGCAGCAAAATCCGACTAAGCGGAGTACTTCCTGTCTGCCCCACAACAGGAAACACGCACAGCTCGATTTCAGTGACATGTAACAATATGAACTGTGAAGAGG